AGGATACCTCTTTACGGGGCAGTGAGCAATCCGTCTTTCTTCTTGCAGCGAGGTTTGTGAGCTTGTCATGAAATCACTACCCCAGAGTGTCTTCCACACCGATCTACATTACCCTAGAAAGGTAGCCTTCCTGGTTGAGATCGTTAGTTTTTAAACCCAGAAGCCCCCAGGCCCCCATTTCCTCATCTGTAAAGAAGGTAAATAGCCACCCTGAGCTCACATGTGCCCGTGATTGTTGGAATTAAAAGAGATCAATTCATATACGAGTTTGGGAATAAATGGTATGTGTTATAATTAGAGCTTGGATGCCACTCTTTTGTTTAAATAGAATTTCTTGGAATCCCCAGTGTTGATGGGTTAAGTCCATAAGATTCACAGAACCAAGTGCCTGGGGAGATGTTAGAATCCTCCTCTCTCAGGGCCTGCAGGTCAGGATAGGAATGCTTCAGAAATGGGAGTGCTTACCCTTCTATAGCCTCGACCTTTCACAAACAAGCACACGGACCCTCACCGCACTGCCCAGGGAGGAAGCAGCCCGGACACTGGGCTATGCAAGAACCCAGACTCTGGGCTGAGCAGACCTGAGTGTGAATTTCTCCTTTCCCTAGCAGGGCGGCACAGGTCAATGACTGATTTTTCTGGGCAAGGATTAAAAGGCAGACGTATGTCAAATGTACAGTAACCCTTAACAGAAAAGCAAGGGCCTGAATTCAAACTAAAAAATACCTTTAAGTAAAGCATATAACAAGCGGGCTATAGGATAGAGAGCCCCAGTGAAAGCCTCCCACTAAGCAGTGCTGAAGACAAGCCTGTGTGCTCTGGAATCCCAGGTGAAACCTTAAGCAACAATTTTTGCAGCATCTCCTGTGTGTCCTAAATCTTAAACTATACTATACCTGTTCCTTTCACATTAAAATGATTAATTTTTTTTAAGATTTTATTTATTTATTTATTTGACAGACAGAGATCACAAGCAGAGGCAGGCAGAGAGAGAGAGAGGAGGAAGCAGGCTCCCTGCTAGGCAGAGAGCCCAATGCGGGGCTCGATCCCAGGACCCCGGGATCATGACCTGAGCCAAAGGCAGAGGCTTTAACCCACTGAACCACTCAGGCGCCCCTAAAATGATTAAATTTTTGTTAACATTGAGTGAAACCTATGCTCCAGAAAAATACACTGTGTTTATCCCGTGGCCCCAAGTTATCCCTCTGGCATCTGGGTTCTGGCGGCCCAGGAGCACAGGCTTAGGGCAACCACAAATGTAATGCCCCTGACACAGGAGCAGGCAACAGGGACCCTTAATCCCCTTTCCTTTTTCCTTGTTCTTCAAAGGCTTCTTAATCTAAATGTGAAGGTGACAGACTGGCTATTTCATCAAAAGGTAGACTCCTTAAAAAAAAAAAAAAAAGTTTAATCATTGCCGTGTCTTGGGGGAAAAAATAAGAACTTTAAATCTAGTGTGTGATGTTTGGTGCAAGGCTGCTCTTGGGGACGTCCCTGTGGGAAGAGAGCTTCCCCACCTGAGAAGACAGTGGTGATCAAACATTTTCTTTACAATCACAAATTCATCCGGGCAGTGGGACCTGTGCATAAGCTAAGTGTCTTCTGTTAAGCAAATTCATATGCTTGGAGGGGGGAGAATGCCTGCATCAGAATATGACCATCCCTTCCTTATGGCTGGAACCAGTCCTGGAAGAACATCCTACAAGAACCTCTTGTGGCGGCCCAGGATGGGCGGGGGGGAGGGGGCTGTGAGCAGCATCAGCCTTCTGAGGGAAGAGGCTGTTAAGTGAAAGAGATTTTGGATATTAGTAATACCAGTAATATCACCTTGGTATAGGCAGTGACCTTCACAGGCCACAGAGCACGTTCAAGGTCATGACCTCTTTTGTGCCCTTACCGATCTCCAGTGGAACGAGGCCAAGTGTCACTGGAAATGAGAAGCTGACTGGTGGCTTCCCAGGTCCTGCATTTACCAGAAGGTGGCACTGGCCCCTACCTCAGGAGGAACACTGGGTGCTGCGCCCCTCCCCCCAGTAAATGCTCGTATAACTAATTAAATTTGATGAAGGTGATCAAAAAGCAGACCACAGCCTGTGTCTGGTTTGGTGTGTCTTCTTTCTCTTATCACCGAATTCTGAATACATACACTTAGTTTAAAATAACCTGGGTTTTTATGAACTGCCAAAATGAACTTGGTGTCCTAAACACATGTGCTGCCTTCTTTGTCCCCAGCATCTGACCTAGTGCATTACAGTGAGGTGCTTCCTCACATCAGCAAGCTGATTAGTGGCCCCTTGTCCTCCTACCAAGAGGTGCCCACACGGGGAAGGAGGAGCGAGTTTTCAGACACCTTGGCCTTGAGTTGCAGAGGCTGGAGGGGCCCCTTGGACTTTCCCTACATCTTTGGGACCCTCTGGCCCAGCCTTCCCTGGGGGCGGGGGAAGGTTGGGGGAACGAGAGCACTGTCAGAAGAACATGCTGACATTCCTTTCTTCCGCAGCTGCCATTCTGGGTACGTGGGTGCGCGGTGTGAGCATGCTGACCTCCTGGCCGTGGTGGCCGCCAGCCAGAAGAAGCAGGCCATCACCGCCTTGGTGGTGGTCTCCATCGTGGCCCTGGCTGTCCTCATCATCGCATGTGTGCTGATACAGTAAGTGTTTGTCACCCCTAAAGTCCGGGCTTCCTCCCCAAGCCATCAGTCCCATGACCAGATGACACGGCCACCTGGGCATGGTTCATTGCTGTGGTGTCTGACTGGTGTCAGCAGAGCCGAGAGGAATTTCGGTCATGGCCACCTGCGGTCAAGGGCACCCATCCTGGGAGGGTCCCCAGTGGGGGCTCTGTACGCTGTTGGAAGCCAGGGGGGAAGCAAAGGTTCATCTGCTCTCTGACTGCTGTTGCGTTTGGAGCCTCCAGAGTGACGATGGGGATGTGCGGGCATTCCAGAGCGAACTAGAAGTGACTCCCAGCTTCCTGTGGCAAGCGGCAGAGGTGTTTCCTCTCTGCCAAAGGCACTTTGCAAATCCCAGGGCCATGTCGGAGGTCTTGGTTGCTCTTTGGACAGGCTGATGGCAGCCCTTCCCCCTTCTCCACTCCTCTGCCCTTTCTCGTCTTCCAAAACTCATCTTGCATCTTCCAGAAAGCCTTCCTGAGCCCTAGCCCAAGGGAGACCCTTTTCTTGGGCTTACTTGCTTGCCCGTATCTCCCGACTGGACTGCTCCACAGACAGAGACTTCCCTAGTGCTGTAGTCACAGCATCTGGGCAGATGTGGTCCCTGGAAATGTCTAGAGACCTCTAATTCACAGAGCAGGCCCTCTGAGAATGTACACAGAGTCGGTGATGCGTAAGGCATTCCCAGAAGAGCTAAAGGCTCCCAGTCAGCCTGGTGTAGATTCACTCAGGATGGAGACGGTGGGGGATGGGCCATTCTGGCGAGGGCTGGAGGAAGCCTCTGTGTGTTAATGAAGGAGGCCAGACGGGAGCCCTCTGAGGCCGTCCGCAGTTTGGACAAATCATTAGGAGTCTCTGTCCTGTTTGGTTATTGGTTTGCCACTGTTGAGGCAACATGCACACCTCTGGCTCCGGTGACAAACTGATGTCCCATAGAGCCCCACCCTGTTGACGGGAGCCGGCCCAAGTCAGCATTAAAGGGTGAGGGATGAGGTTGAACTGAGACGGCCTTTCCTTCCTCTTCAAGCCGAGCGTGCTCCACTCCCACCTGTCTTGGAAAAGGTGGTGGACGAGCGGCCCTGGTTTGGGCTGGAACATAGCCCAGGCTCTGCCATGCACGAGGTCAGTTCTTGTGGTCGTCAGGCTGTATGTGCTCACCTGTCATGTCCACTGTCCTCCTATTTCTGTGGCCAGGAGGGTCCCAGAGCCTCAGGGTGCCCCTGTGAGCTTCTCCAGAGGGATTTAAAAGCTAATCTTGATGCCTAGATGGCCTCTCTCATTCGCAGGGAGGCAGCCAATCTCACCTCCCCTCCTTTTTTTTTTTTTTTTTTGAAGATTTTATTATTTATTTGACAGACAGAGACCACAAGTAGACAGAGAGGCAGGCAGAGAGAGAAGAGGAAGCAGGCTCCCCACTGAGTAGAGAGCCCAACATCGGGCTCAATCCCAGGACTCTGGGATCATGACCTGAGCTGAAGGCAGAGGCTTTAACCCACTGAGCCACCCAGGCGCCCCTCACCTCCCCTCTGTCTTTTCCCAGCCCATCCTTGCTAGAGACCAGTCCAGAATCCCTGAGCCAAACACTAAGCCCTTACCCCAGCCAGGTCGCTGGGTGCCTGTGCCTGGGGCCCTCCTGAGTTGGAGAGTTGGTTGGAACCAGCTTATCCTGTGCCAGAGGTACTTGGAGGCCTTGGTCACACTGCCCTGGAATGCTCCTTGCTAGTAAGTGGCTGGGATAAGCCCACTGCTAGCTGACTGCAAAAGACAACCTCTAGTGATGGATGGATATGGAATCAGGTCCTCTAGATCCCTCCAGATCTGGGACTCTGCAGCTCTGCAGGGCGCCATGCAGAGGCAGACTGCTCTGGCCACCCGGGACAGAAGTGTGTTGGGTAGGAAGGTCTCGGTCTCCTCCTTGGCTCTGCTGCCCAAAGGTTCAGGGGCCCTGGCTGCCTTCCCAGGTTAGTGCCCAGAGAGAGGAGCTGGAGATCATGAAATGCCACCAGGCCCCAAGGGGGCAACACAGCAACAGGTTTGTTTTCTCTTTTGTTTCTGGGCCCATGTCCATGAGGAGACCCTGCCCAGCCCCAGTGAAGATGCACGGATTAGGCATAGGTCAAGGTTAGAATGAGGAGAAACAAAGTCCTCCATGATATCCCATGCAAAAGAGCTCTAAGTGTCTCTGCATCATCAGTGTCTTTCTCAGTGCTTTCTTCTGCCCTTCTTTTGGGTTCCCTGGTTCTCTCTCCATGCGAACTCTGCTCGCTGTTCATTCCCGTGCACAGAGTGGGGCAGGAGCACTCAGAACCCTGGGGCTCCAGGGCTCCGGGAAACACACGTTCACCAAGAGGTTGGGTTTGCTACAGCTAGAGAATGGTAGTCCACGAAAAGATTCAAAGCTGTGGTGATTTGCAACTCGTTCTTTCATTCTTCCCACGGGTCTGTTCAGCCCATCCTCGTTCCTTGCTTTGCTGCTGGCAAGGACCTGATGGATGCTTCCCCCCACACACACCCTCACAGCCCCGCCAGCCCGCAGTGGCTGCCTTGTCCCAGCATTGACCACCCTTCTGAGGGCTTCCCCACCTGCTACATTGCCCCTCGAGCCAGGAGCAGAGCTGTGCTCGCAGAGCCAATCCTTGAGGGCCAAACAGGTGCTGCAGGGTGCTCAGCCCCTGGCTATGTGCAGCTGGCCCTCTGGAGGCCCCGGTGGGAAGGTTGCTGCAGAGCCCAGAGCCACCCAGTGGGCTCTTCCCACGATCGCTGCACCAGCTGGGCCCGCCTGCCCCAGGCTCCTGCCCAGCCCGTGTTCTCTGTCCGCAGCTGCTGCCAGGTCCGAAAACACTGTGAGTGGTGCCAGGCTCTCATCTGCCGGCATGAGAAGCCCAGCGCCCTGCTGAAGGGAAGGACTGCTTGCTGCCACTCCGAAACAGGTAAGGGGCTGTCGCAACGAGGGGCCTCTCTCCCTTGGGAGACACGAGTGGATGGAGAGGAGACCACCACCTTCTCCAGGGCAGGGCAGATGTTCTTAGAGGGTGATGCAGGAAGAGGGAGAAAAGGAAGAGGATGTTTATCCACCCCAAGTCAGGTTGAGTTTATCCTAAGGTACGTTTCACTCTTTTATCTTCATTGGTCTGTGTGGCCTCTGACAAGTTGGTTGGCCTCTCTGAGCCTCCGTTTTCTTATTTAAAAGTTGTGCAAATTGGATGAGTGCTGATGTAAAGGACTGAGCAGAGCATATCACAAACTGCAGACACAACTGATGTTCGCTCTCTTTCCCTTGAGCAAGTCCCTTCCCCTTTCCCATCGGTGAAATGAGGGATTTGGCCTACAGCTCTCAGACCACTGTTTGGCTCTGGGCTCTTGTGATCTTTAAGCTTACCATTGCTTCGTGAGTATTTTCACTGACGTCCACGAAGAATACTGGGCATCTGGGAATGGAACCAAACCTGCTTCTCAGGAGTCCTCACCTGGGCATAACCGGCTTGGGGCTCATGGAGGCAAATGGCTCCTTTATCCAGACAAGCCCTGGAGAGTCACACAACAACAAGATTTTCTGAAATGCTCTTGTGACCAGTCAAGCCCATCAAAAACCTAAAGTTCCTTTGCGGGAAGTAGTGGGACAGGAGACCATCACCACAGGCTAATACCCAGGGTGACCTTCTCTAGTCAGCAGCTGCCATTCCAGAAGCTCACAGTTGCAGAGAGTAGGAAGAAGGGCGGCTGGGAAGCTAGAGCACGGACATGTCCATTAAACCTCTTGGCGATCTGCCCTGGCAGGCGTCGAAGGCCCAGGAGCACTTTATTTGTTCTTCAGGAGCCATAGTAATCGTGCGTGAGCGGTTCTTGTCAGCTAGGAGGCCCACAGCTCTTAAGGATGCTAATCCATTCATCCTTCTAACGGCCTTAAGAGGAGGAGGATTTGTGAGTGGTGCGGGTACATTGAGTCTGCCAAAGGTCTGCTTAGATCCAACCATCAGTCCACGAGGGAGCTAGGATGAGAACCAGGGCCTCTGAAGGCCCCCGCACCCCTCTCTCCTGCTGCCTCCAAGGACCATCCACTGAGCCAAGGAAGTTTTTAGATTGTTGTTTGGCACCAATAGAAAAACAGTTTAAATCTTTTCAGAAAATTTATAGTAGATTTTGTGCCATTTGTGCTCACCTCAGGAGAGCTATTTAAGGTAGAGGAAATTTCTTATTAACATTCCTTCTCTGCCCGCATTTGGGAGGACATTAGCTTTGAGCCGCAGAGAGGTCTGGCCTTCCAGAGACGGCCACTGAGACTGAAGGCTGCTCCCGGAGATGACGTGTACCTCTCCAACTCCCCAGGAGCCACGGGAGGGAAAAGGGCAGGAGGATGTCCAGGTTGAGCTGGACTCTAGAGCTGCCCCCCGGTGAGCCATAGAGAATGCCTCAGAGCCCCGCCCATTGAGGAACAAATGGGTCCAATCTTAGACGGCCTGAGGGGAAGCCCTTCTGCCACCAGAGTCCTGGACCAGCTCACGAACTGCTCGCCAGGCCACCCCTTCCAGGGGAGCTGTCCCCACGCTGGGCAGACTCTCCTCACAGCACGCTGTATCCCCATTCTCTGCTACCGTGACTCGCTTCACATTCCGTCAGCCTTGCCTTTGGCCCCAGAAGCACAGTTTCAGAAGCTCCTGCCCCTGAGGTTGAACCAGAGGAATCTGGGCTTGGGCCTGTCTGCCCAAGAGAACCTGGTGACCTTGGCTGATGCATCTCCAAGTTTCTGCCCCAAGCTTGTTTTCCTAGCACAGCTGGGGGGCTGGCCCGCAGCACTTAACTTGTTTCTCCTTCCTTCCAGTGGTCTGAAGAGCCCAGAGGGAGTTTGGCCAGATAGACTGTGGCAGCCTGAGGGAGAAAGGACTTCTTCAGGACCAGCTGGCTTCCTACTCTGCCAGCAATCACCTGTGCAGCCTTTTTGTCTTTTGTGGGCCTTCCTTCACAACTCTGTCAAGAACTCTGTCTGCTTGGGGTTATTTGGTGTGACCTAGAGAAGAAATCAGTGGATCACGGTTTCAAGACTGGTCAAAAAAGAATTGCAAGGGGGTGGACTTCCTGTTGACCTCACTAAGGTGTGTGCGTCTGCCGGCCTCAGAGCCCAGAGACGTGTTGTCGTCTTCTGCCAGTCACCGAGGCCAGGCTGTGTTTCTTTTCCATGGGCCCATGTACCCACAACAGTATCCATCCTCCCCAACCCCAGAGATTGCTGTCGTTGAGTTTTTTCTCATCCTTTTATTGGAGAAGAAGGTGGAAAAAGGGTAACTATTGGTTATGGGAAGATGTCAAATGTGAGAGGAGCCGTGTATGTCCTCTGCCCACGAACCCCTCGGCCAAGCCTGACATCTGCCACAGACACACGATGCCGAGGACCTTCCCAAGTCGTCGGCAGCCTCGGAGATCATTTCTTATTTATGAGATGGATGATGGTTTCATTTTTAATCTCTTAAGTCGGTATAAAAAGCATAAAACCTTTTCAGACTTCTACACGAATGATGTATGTAATGCTGGCTGAAAAGTTAGCTGACTGATTACAACCGTCTGGCCCCTTTGGGACAGCTAAGGCTTGGGAAGAGCCCCCCAGGGGTGCAGAGTTGGAAACAGAGGAGGAGTTGCTGATGAGAGCAAAGACTGGGGCTTACAGGTCTTGCATTTAAGACACAAAGCAAGGAAAGGCCCTCAGATACATTCCAGTAGAAAAGCTAGCCAGTCCAGCAGCAAAGACTTGTAGCTTTGTGGGGAGAGAGAAAGAGAGTGCCTGTGTGTGCATCTCCTCGGGACGAACACAGGACTACCGAGCTCCACGATTAGACAGATTAACTTCCTAGTGTTCCCTCCATATGTTTAGAAATAGAGCACAAGTGGAGAGGCACGGGCCTTCCGGGCCACATCCACAAAAAGGGGGCTGGTCGTTTACTTTCCATGTTGTTGTTTGGTTGATTTGTGGATTTATTTTTAAAAGGAGAAATTTAACCTTCGTATTTATTTTCTAGCATTAGGAGAAATGTCCCTGTGATTTTTTTTTTTCTCTTTTCCATTCAGGATGCTGGTTTTATTAACAAAAACTCTAACAAGTCACCTCTACAAGGTGGGTCTTGCTTTCCCCTTAGAGAAGGAGAAATGTTTTCATGGGCCTCTGGGTGTGTTCTGACCCACTTGGCTTGCCTATGGGAAACACTGGTTCCCTCCAGGTAAACATCAGAGAGCTCATCCCTAGAAATTTTTGTTAAAAACTGTAAACAGAATAACAGTGAAATAGTACATGAAGTCCTTATGAAAGGGAACTCTTTATTCACTAATATTTGAAAAATGAAAAATCTCTACCTAGTAGTGTGGCCCCACCCATCATGAAAGAGACCTTTAAAATATATCAAGTTGGCTTAAAATTTCTACCAGATTATTTTGTCCTCCCCTATTCTTCTTCCCCAATCTGTCCATTTCGATGAATTTACTTGTTACAACTGAGACCATTATGTGACGCGTGTCTTAGCTCTGACACTCGGATGGGATGATGGAATGAAGCGGTGAGGGCAGAAACGGGCTCTGCTTGCCTGCTGGCCCGCTAATGAGGCATTTGATGCAGTTTCCAGGCTTAAGCTTCCTTTCTCCCGCCTGTCCTCCAGCTGCGGGTAGGCACACAGAGGCCCAATTGTAGCATCTTGCTCAGAGACCTGTCCACTGACATGGGTTTGCAGACACCCCAATTTTCACTCCTTTCTCTCACCAGACCCTCCAGAAAGTCTGAGAGCCTGGCGAGAGAGACCGGTGGCGTAGTGTGTCTTTAACTTCAGGTCACATTCTGACTCTAGGACAATCTTTCCTCGGTCTTTTAGAGACTCTTTGAGGTCTGATTGCCTTTAGAGAATAGGAACCCACGTGAGATGTTTTGTGGGGCTTTCGTCACTGGAGGGAGGGCAGGACCCGTGTTTGGTCTCCAGGAGTCCGAGAGCCTTTGCGGAGGTGTGAGAAGGGAGGGATGAGCGCCTTCTGTATCCCCTGCACGGACTTCACCTCAGTGTCTGTGAAGGCTCTGGTCCTCGGTGCCCCTTTCCTCGCGCCCTTGCAATCACTCCGCGAACTGTGCGGGGAACGAGCAGCGTGCCTCCCTGTGCATGGCTCCCGAGGCAGTTCTCGGCAAACCAGCAGATCTGAAAAGAGTTAGAAACAGAGGCTGGGTGAAGGCAGGCCTGGATGGACCTTTGTCCGTGCTCAGGAGAGGAGAACCTTGCTTCTTTGTGGTTTCTCTTTAAAAATCAAGCATTGGATTCCTGGGCCATTTCTTGGTATTGGTACATTTTGAGCTAGCTGTAAAAATGTCCCCTTTTGAGATTAAAAATGCATCTTCAAATCCATCTTTATGGGTTCCCTGTGTTTCCTTGGCCTCGAGAAAGCTGATGATATGACTAGGGATTCCTTCCTGAGGCCTTTCCTGGTCCGCAGCCGCACCCCTGGGAGTAGAAAGCAAAGCAGCTTCCGGTGTCCATCTCAGGAGAAGTGAAACACCCTCATTAAAAAAAGAAGAGGGGGTGCTTGCAAATATTTTATGGAGCCTCGATTCTCCCACTGCTATGCAGGCTGTGATGTGTCTAAGCATACCGGCCAGAAACCTTTTCTTCTAGATGCAAAGATAGCAGTCCACACTGATCTGGAAGATGGTTCCGACACACCTGAAATCAAGCAAGATCCGAGCTTGGCCGTTGTGTTCCCACAGAGGAGGGGGGCACAGCGTCCTAGAGTCTATTTTCCTAAGAATCGAGGAGGTGGGACTGACACCTCAGCCACCCATGTGTCGGGGACGTAGGAGGAGGTGTGGTTCTAGAGCTTCCTGGGAATCTGTGCTCGGCAGGTGGAGAAGAAGGTGCCTCTTCAGCCCAATCTTCCAGGGCCGGGTTGTCTCACCGCGCCTGGAGTCGCTTCTCCAGGCAACATCTGCAGAAACGGATCGACAAGGTTCCAGCACTCCTCAGGAGACCCTGCCTGCCCTGTAGGGTCTGGGCTTTGGTTTCTCCCAACCTGCTTGGCCAAGGAAGGGGGAGGATTCAACAGCCCAGCACCCAAGGGGACGTCACCGAAGGAAGACGAACCCATACGTTTGTTCTCAGTGTGGGAACATGAGACCTTTCCTCTCCAGCCTCTGATTTTACCAGGCTCTCGGAAAGATCTAGTGGTGAACAACACACAGTACTGAAAAGCAGCCCCTCTTCCTAGGGTAGTAACTTACTGAAGTATTCAACTTTCCATTATCTTTATGATAACAAACCTGAGGCTTTTTTTTTTTTTTAGAACTTGTTACTCTGACTTCTGTATATGTTGCACTGAAAAGGTTAATATTTAATGTTTTAATTTATTTTGTGTGATAAGTTAATTTTGATTTCTGTAATGTGTTAATGTGATTAGCAGTTCTTTTCCTTAATATCGGAATTATACTTATTTAAAGAGTAGTGAGCAATATAAAATGTGGTTCTGTTTTTTTCAGTCATGTGCATTATTGTCCAGTTGTACCGTACCTTGTTTGGAAGGATGAAGGAATGAACTCTTTTTTTTTCCCCCCTAAATCAAGACTGGAGCTTTTCTTTCATGAGAGTGGCATGTTACTGAAAAGCAAATTAAGAATTTTCTCCACACATATGAGTGATGAGGAAAAATTAGATGCTCTTTCACAAAATGTGGGAATCCTCAAATTCACCAGAGTTGATCCCTGCCCACTTGAAGAAACCAAACCCTCCACAAAGATCCCAATACATTAGCCTTTCATCTGCTAGGTGTCTGACAATATGCTAAATGATGCAGATGAAAATATAAAACAGACAGTCCCCACCCCTGAAGGAACTGAGATCTGGCTGAGAGACTGACATGCAAAAACTAATTCTGGAACAGTTGCAGACAACATGCAAAGGAAGCCTGAATCATAAGGTAGAGAGCATGTGTGCATAGCTGTGGTTCTCCAGGTGTGCTCCCCAGACCAGCAGCCCCATCTCAGGAATGCAAATCTTCAGGCCCCTCCCCCAGACTATTAAACTCCAGAGGTGTCCTACGCCCCCTCCACCTTCTAGGTGCTTCCAATACATGCTCTAGTCAGAACCACTGTAATCTAGGACTAAGCGAAAGACACGTTAGTGGAGGGGGCAGAGACGCAGCTTTTAGGAAAAGCTTTATAGAGGCTTTGCAGAGGAAGTGAAACATTGCAGCTTGCCCCTTAGGTGTTCAGAGTTAATGGATATCAGGATGTATAAGGCCTGCATTTATTTGGAATTTCTCTGCTTAGCCTCGTGGAAGAGAAAAAACAGACCTGTCCACACCCACCCCATCCCACCCCACCCTCAGTCACTCACCCCGCTCCCTGCTGCCCAGTTTCTCACTGTAGGGAACTTTCTACAGCTGTCAACCCAGTTCTTACAAGCCTCGCTGCCCTTGAATCCCCATGGCTAAGCCCCCTGCCCTTCTAACCCATGTGCGGACCTCACGTGTGCAACCTAGGAGGAGCTCATGCAGATGCAGCAGAGAGCAAAATAGTGGCAGGACAGCATGAGCTCTTGGTCCCCAGGGATGCTCAGCTTCCAGAGCAGGGCAAGCCCGTAGAACCTGTTGTCCAAGCTCCAGAGGACTTGGCATCTACCTGACCTGCAGGAAGATGAAAACCTAGGCAATTCTTTGTCCCAAGTGCACTGGTCTGGCAGCTGTCCCCCAACAGAGCCTTTACCCACCTCTTGGGAGAAGGAGACCTGCTCCCCATACTTGGTGTTCCCTCCTGCCCCTTGACCCTATTCCTTCTCCAGGGACCTCTCCAGGCCTTGTTTCTAACCCATGGGATTTTTTTCTTGTCCTGCTCCTTCTCCTCCCTGAGTTCCAAGCCCTCCTGCCAGGCCCACCTCTGCCAGAGCCAGTATCAGGTGGCCGCTTCGGGATCTAGCCAGGTGCCCGGGGTGTTGCGGGCAGGACACTCCCTAGGAAAAAACGCCGATGAACTTTGAGTCAAGCCAGGCCAATCTCCCCTCATTTATCCAGGCAACTTGTGGTTGCCAGCTTGATTCCATGATCTGGACAGACGGGGCTCGACTTGTTGGATGTTGTTGGCCCGAATTTCACACCCCAGTTCTACCCAGTCCCTGCATTGCCCTGCCTCCTGCCTCTCCCCATTTTGGGGGTGTGTGTGACCTCACCTTGCCTCCTGCCAACTCTGAGCTCTTTACCCAGCAGCCCCCCAGAATTCCAGCACCAGCATTCCCTCCTCCATCTTCTAAAACTCCTTTTCCACATTTGCTCTCTACACTTGCTACTTGGGCAGGCCCTGAGGTTTCCGTCCCAGCCTTCCACCTTC